CACTTTTGCCCCCGTCTCACACCTGCGCTTCTGGGTCTTTCAGATTGTCCTGGTCTCCACACCTTCTATCTTCTACATTGTATACGTGTTGCAGAAAATCACCAAGAATGAAAAGTTAGAGGATGATAAGAAGGTGGAGGTGAAACCAAGGTCATCACCTTCCTATGAGAGGGACAAACAGACAGGAGGAGATATAGAGGCGACAATGGCAGCTGAAAGTCCCTATAACGCAACCTATAACAAGGAGGACTGGAGTTTAAGGGGAGGGGAGTGTGAGGGGAAGAGCCTTCATGGAGAAGATATTCCAGAGGTAGGAAAGGACCCAACAGAGCTCTCAAGCCAAGTGCTACTTATCTACATCATACATGTTTTGCTGCGCTCCATCATGGAGATAATCTTCCTCATTGGACAGTATTACCTGTTTGGATTTGAAGTTCCACACCTTTTCCGCTGCGAGACCTACCCCTGTCCCAACAGGACTGACTGCTTTGTATCCCGAGCAACAGAGAAGACCATCTTCCTCAACTTCATGTTCAGCGTCAGTCTAGGTTGCTTCATCTTGAACATTGTGGAGCTACATTACCTGGGCTGGATTTATATTTTCAGAGTATTGTTCTCGGCATGCTGCACATGCTGTGTTTCCAACAGAAATGCAGGACAGCAGGCAGATTTATACTCAAACAACAACCCCCTGTTGCTGGAGCTCAAACATTGTCTGCGGGGCAGGGTCGTCCTGCAGACCACTTCTTCAGTGTCCCGGGATAAGGGCAGCTGCGGGGCCCCAATCCAAGGGCCGGCCATCTCCTTCGAGACAGACTCCACACTGGAGTGCACTTCCAAGAGGAATCCAGATGAGAAGGAACGCAGCAAGTCTAAATTACACAATATAGCCAAGATAGGAAGAGGGAAAAAGTCATGGCTGTGAATTATTTCAATAAGAAGAAGTCTGAGGAACTTCCAATGGGAGCTATTTCCTTTGCAAACTATTTGTTTTAAACTATGTAAATTATTTCAAAGGACAATTATATTTTGTGTTGTATAAAGTGGTTGTACTCTGGCATTGTACTTAACCAAAATGTTAAGATACATACAGAATTTTAATCTATTCTAAACTTCTACTCCATTATATTTATTTGATAACTTTAACAATTCAGACAAAAATATATTCAACAAATCATGTATTATTATTGGTTAGGATACACATTTTTGACCCCTTGGGGAAATAACCAAGCTATATATTGTATATACTAAAACATATAAGCTCATCCTATGCCAGCTGCAGAATAAAAGTGATGAACACAAAAAATGTAATCATTAATACATATCAATATGAAATGGGCTGAAGTGCACTTAAAATACATTTTGGTAATAATGCTTTTGTACACTGTGGTATCACTACTTTTACAAAAGAGGTTTATATATTTTCTATTTATGACTGCACTTGTATTGGACTAACAATTAAGTAGTTTAAGAATTGATCAATATGAGTTATGAAGTAAGTGATTATTAAAGTCATTCAGTGGATTTCAATAAGAAACAGTAACAAACTCAGTGTATGTGTTTAACATTCTTGGTTTTACTTTAGATGTAAGAGATTATAAGAGACAGTAAAGCTTTTTATGCAAATGTTTCTGTTAAAATAGTCAAATCAATGTTTTTTGCTTGATTAATTCATACATCGACTTACTCCTAATCATTGTAGAAGAAACCACAAAATATTCTTTAAAAATAGATGGATAATGAGTTTTAAAAGCAGCAACTTCATATTCAGGTGGCCCAATGAGCGACAATACACAAGGGCTCTGATCTAGATTCTCATTGTTTATCACTATGCCAGCATAGAGTGTAACCTGCACAGTATGTTTCCTGGGCCATGGAGTGGGCCCAAAAGCTTGATTTTACTTGACTTACCTTGAACCAGATATATCTGAACAAACGTGTGCTGTCTTGCTTGACAATTTTATCCCGTAATATACAATGTTGGGATAAAATGTAATCATATATAAAAAATGAAATGTATAAAAGTGGAAGAGAGAGATTAAGAAAAGACAAACAAAATCTAACGAAATGAAGATGTGTCTGTGTTTTGAGTTCAAAGATGACTCATTCAAATCAACATTTGGGAGTATTTACCACTTTAGGCTATGTACTAAAATGATTTACCTGCACAACCAGTGATCCAGTTCATAAAAAAGACCAGGAGGGGTCACTGCTGTCCGGTTTACCCTGGTGCTACCTTCATGTGCTATTGGAATTATTAGATATTTACCGCAATTCGATGTAATTGACAACCCTAATACGATTGCAGAAGGCGAAATCTGGCACAAATGTTACACATATATGCTAACATGCAAAGTTGGATTGTATGTAAGCAGTATAAATGAAGATGGTGAAAATATTTCGTGAATCGTAATACATGTTAGTTGTTTTCTTATTATGATAACAATTCAATTTTCCTCTCAATATTTGACTTTCATAAACATGACCACTACATTTATTTTTAGAAGACAAACAAAAACACAAATCAGGTTGGTTGTGTCCCATGGTCGTTTTCCTAGCCGACCAAGAATCCTATATAGTTATAACGGAGTTTACGGAAAGCATTTGAATGCATCACCAGTACCTACATTTCTCGCACCTACTGTCAATTTCAAGGAGGAAAATGCTGAAAACTTCAAGCAAGAAAACAACGTGGGCAATGACAGGTATGTATGTCAGTGTCATATGTGCTCATAGCGTTTGCTATATGTTATTTTATTTAAATAACATTGTTGTACTCTCTGCTGAAAGTGTTCCCTAAGGCCACCGGTGCTAGAGAATGAGGGCAAAGCAGCTTAAAGGGAGAACATTAAGCTGTGGGCTAGACATAGCGAAATCCTAGCTTTAGCATGTGAAACGTTAGCCTATTAAGTTTAGTAAAGCTAAACATAAAAACATATTCTTATTTCATATGAAACGTCATCACATTCACATAATTATAAAGTGCTGTAAAGTGATTGAATAGCCAATTTATAGCCTGTTTTATCATGTAATTAAGTGAGGATTAAGTGCGAATTCACTGTTTATGGGGTGACAAATGGCTACCGCAAGGCATTTAGCTTCCATTGTGAGTATTGGGCACACATGTTCAGGTGTTCTGCATCACTCTAGTGGTGATGCTGAACATTTGATAGCAAGACAGATGAGGTCAAAGCTCTTCCTACCAGTGTCTGTATGTAGGGCAGTTCAAATGTAAAGAGGCATAGACATGTGTCAGTGTATTGGACTAAGGAAACATATACTAAATCTTTAGTAAATGTATGTTTTCAAGATAATATAATAATAATAATAATAGGCGCTGTCAGTCCCATTTCACTCAGATGACCTGAGGTTGGAGAAGTATTCAGATCCTTTACTTCAGTAAAACTACAAATACTAGCAACTTATTAACCTCAAATTGTACCTCAAGTACAAAAAGTACTCATTCTGCATAATGGCCCATTTCAGAACTATATAAAGTACGGCAGAATTATAAGCTAAATGTACTCCAAATATCAAAAGTAAAGGTACTCGTTGCAGAATGGATCTTTTCACAGTATTATATTATTATGGGTAGTATTTGACAATGACAATTGATAATAGTACAGTACTGCATTATACCATATCAGCATATCATGTGTTTCTAAATGTACAAAACGAGTTACTGTGAATGTTAAAATAAATGTACTCGGGTAAAAAGTACGATATTTGTCTCTGAAATATAGTGGAGTAGAAGTATAAAGTAGCAATGAATAGCAATACTCAAGTTTATTACAAATATGACAAAAAAGTATGTAAGAAGTACAATACTTGTAAATGTACCATGTTACTTTCCACCCCTGGTGATGCTGAACATTTGACAGCAAGACAGAGTAGGTCAAAGCTCTTCATATCACTGTCTGTATGTAGGGCAGCTCCAATGTAAAGTGGAATAGACATGTGTCAGTGTATAGAACTGAGAGAACATATACCAAATCTTCAGTACAATCTTTATTTCCTGTTCAGACTTCAATGCAATAATAGGTGCTGCCAGTCCCATTTCCCACAGATGACACTCCACTTTTCTCCTGAGTTTAGGAGTGGGTGTTGATACTTTGCATGGATAACAAATGTTTGATTAAAATGATACAACAACTGCAACACAAGTTGTGACATGATAAGCAATATTGTTGTTTTTGTGTTGCAACAATAAGATATAGGAAGAATGTTCAAATGGTGTCAACTGTGAACCTTGGCACCTGATATGGCTTAACTAACAAACATGTGTGATTAGATACATTATTGTCACATAAACATGTCAAATAAGGGATTTTTGTAGGCTTTAATCATATTTCATACATAACATAAATATGACAAACACAGTGCTGAAAGAAGTATACAGATCTTGTCATACCACCATTTAGAAAAAGATAACTGTTACAAATAAAGGTTCTTCATTTGAAATGATACTTAATAAATTATACTTTAAGTACAAATACATTTCTCATTCATTGAACAATATTATATATATTAGTGAATTTAACCAAGGCATCAATAGAGTCTTGTCAAAACCTACGATAAAGTATTTGGTCATATTTTGTATTATCTGAGTGAATTAAAGTTACTAAAGCTATCAAAAAATGGGGTACAATAGTAGCCTCTGTACTTGAGTGAATATCTCCATTTTGTTTTATGTCTTGTATGTGTAACTGTTTGTTCATTTGATAAATGAAATCCTATGAGGACTTGGAAATGTCTACTGCAGCTTTGTTTTGCACATTTGACATATTGTATGTGCAATTACAAATGTGCATGTCAAACAAGATTGGCCAATAATTGGCATTGAAGCACATTAGCCAGTATTACCTTACTACCTTTAGTCTTATTCCTTCCTAATCTCCCCCTCTTCTTCCTACTCCTTACAGGTAACATAGATGCTTTCTCATCATATGCAAAACTGTCCCTTCGTTGCTGTTGACATTTGAAACTGGTAGAACATTTCAGAGCAATTTGAGAATGTTTCACCTTATTAAGAAAGAGAAGGAGAAGGACCTGGGCAAGAAAGAGAAGAAAGAAAAGAAAGAGCGTATGTCCCAGGCCGAGTTGAAGAGCCTGGAAGAGATGAGCATTCGTAGAGGATTCTTCCACCTCAACCGAGGGAGCACTAAGAGGGACTCCAAGGGCAGACTGGAGATCTCTAGTCCTATCCCAATCAAGGTGGCTACCAACACGGAGCTCAGCCTGACAGACCTGGAGGTGGAGCGCCTTCGCAGCGCCCTGGGGCAGGACATGGGGCAAATGAGTCCCTCTGGTGAGGACGTGAAGTTCCATTATCTGGACCCTCAGCGCAGCTCTGTAAAAGAGAGAGCTGCGAAGTTTGGTGAACTTAATTCTTCCGCCCAGAGGCACGTGTCTTTTTCCCAGCAGGAGGCTTCACATTTGTATCGGAAAAACTGGAGAAGAGCTTCTTTCAAGTACCGCTCCAAGCCAAACTTCCGTAAGGTCCACATTCCTGAGATGGTGGAGAAGACCTTCCCCGGTGCTGACCTACAGTTGCCCATGCTTGTTGCTGCACCAATACCAGATCCAAGAGAGCTGGAGATACAGCGGCGCAACACTGGGGATTTTGGATTCTCTTTGCGGAGAACCACCATGCTAGAGAGGCAGCCTGACGGAGGGGTGTGTCGGCGCGTGGTGCACTTTGCCGAACCAGGTGCCGGGACAAAGGACCGGGCTCTAGGTCTGGTTCCAGGAGACAGGCTTGTGGAAATAAATGGGATCAATGTGGAGAACAAGAGCAGGGATGAGATTGTGGAGATGATCCGTCACTCCGGAGAGTCGGTCCGGCTCAAGGTTCAGCCCATTTTGGAGCTGAGTGAGTTGAACCGCAGCTGGCTGAGGACCACTGAAGGCCTTCACAAAGATCTTCCAGAGGTGAGTAGTACTTATATTTAAATATTTTTGTCCACTGAGTAAAAAGATTCCAACTTGCAATTTCACATTTACTGATTCTGTCTCTTTAAAGCCATTGCATCATTTGATATGAGTGCTTACTAGGGGTGTCACGATATACTGGTATTGAGGATAGCATTTTTTACAGACTCTCCACTTAACTACATTTGTATTTTGAGTGTTATTAATTCTCCCAAAAAATAATCGAAAATGCAGTGTTTCCCCCACCATTGTCTTGGAGGGGCGCTGCGCCCCGCCAACGGATCCCCGCCAACGGAGCACCGCCAACGGAGCCCCCCCTGGAATTCAAGGTGTTTAAAAAAAGAAAAGAATTTTTTTTTTTTATAATTTAAAGAAAAGAAAAAAATATATATATATAGCACCAAAGTGCAACTAATCTATATCTACTGTCACTTTTCACTTTGAACATGTGCTTTTTTATTAAATAAACTAAACGCTTTAATTTGAAGTTGTGAGTTTAGTGTTTTCGACCCTAAGAAACAGATGCATTAATCAATAACAATAATCCACAGCTCCTCTCTCTGCTCCAGAGGATTTAAAAAAAAAGATATCCCAATGTATTCAGGCAGGGGGGTTGGGGTTTTGTGGGAGAGAAAATTATTTCAGCAGCCTATCGTTTGTAGCTGTAAACACTACTGTGATGATGTGCATGCTGACACTGCTGCAGCGAGCCATGCAGTCAAATTGATTTCATACTGAAGACGA